CAGCCTACTCCGTAGCAGCTGAGATCCCAGCAACAGTACCCTGCACCACAGGGCCCTCTCTTCTGGGACCAACATCAGCACAACCACAAAAGACCCAGAGCAGCTGCAGCGAGGAACAACAGCATCTCAGCAAAGCAGCAGCCTGGTCCACACCCCCACTGGCCTGAGCAGCAGGAGTAGAGGAGTTATGCCGCAGCCATAAAAGGGCCAAACCACACCAACCTGGTATAGATTAAGGACCTGCTCAGACTTATATACACACGTCTGGAACAGTAGTAGTGAGGAGATCATTAATCATTACAATGTGGAACATACAAGGTATTAATTCATCCAGTTTTGGTTACAAAACCCAAACCTCAGATTTTAGAAAAAACATATCAGACATGGACATAATAATATTACAGAAAACATGGCGCAAAACTGATGAAGTCACTCTTTGTCCCCCAGGATATTGTGAAATATTTTTATCCTCTAGAAAACATGAAAAAATCACACGTGGAGAACATACAATTGGTAAATATCAAAACCCATTAGACTACCCCATTACAGAAAATGAACTGATTGATAAAATCCAGGACCTAAAAAACTAAAAAGCAAGTGGAGCAGATGGCATCCTCAATTAAATGCTCAAGAACACAGAGCACAAATTAAGATTGGCCCTACTCCCGCCGGAGCTCCGTCAACACCCTCCGTAGACGCTCCAGGTGAGTCTCCCAGCCCTCGGAGTGTATAACGACATCATCCAGGTAAGCCGTGGCGTAGGCTTGGTGGGGCCGGAGCAAGATGTCCATCAACCACTGGAACATGGCTGGTGCCCTGTGTAGGCTGAAGGGAAGCATCCGGTAATGCCAGTGGCCATTGGGAGTGCTAAAGGCTGTCTTCTCCCGAGACTCCTAGGAGAGGGGCACCTGCCAATATCCTTTGGTGAGGTCCAAGGTGCTGATGTATCGAGCCTTGCCCAGCCGGTCCAAGAGCTCATCCACCCGCGGCATGGGATAGCCGTCAAAGGCGGAAACTTGATTGACCTTCCTGAAGTCGTTACAGAACCGGAGGGTGTTGTCCGGCTTTGAAACCATCACTACGGGGCTGGCCCACGGGCTACGGGAGGGCTCGATGATTCCTAGTCGGAGTTGCTCGGGCCGGGGAACCCACTTCTTGAGCAAGTTAACGTGGTAGATTTGCTCCGTCCGTCGGCGGCCAGGTTGCCGCACCCGGTACGTCACCGGTCCCATCCGTTCCACTACGGTGTAGGGCCCCGGCCAGGTCGCTAGGAACTTGCACGCAGCTGTCAGGACCAGTACCACCACCCGATCGCCCGGCTGGAACTCCCGAGCCTGGGCGGGCCGGTCGTACAGCCGTTGCTGGGCAGGCTGGGCGGTCACGAGGTGTTCTTTAACCAGTGGCATGACCCGGTCAATCCTTTCCCTCATTTCCCGCACGTGCTCGACGAGGCTACGAAGGGGGGCGGGTTTG